AAAGCCAAACTGAACTGGCACGTCACACCTACCAACTACATAACCGGTGGTCTGGCATATATTGATAAGGCTTTCGAATGGGGCGCTAAGCACGGAATCGGTATATTATTGGACATGCACGCGGCACCTGGATCTCAAAATGCCTTTGATAACTCGTCACCCGCTGAATACCCTCCTCAGGTATGTTCAGAAACCTATTAAACTTTTTATATGAAGCACTATTACCAAGGAATATTTAAGAATTTAATATGCTTAATATAGATAATTCTATATAATAAATTTTAAAAATCAGTAATATTTAAAATGTTTATGCTAAAATATACTTACAAATATAATTATAGAAAAATTGGGACAAATACGATGCAAACAGGGGTCAGACTGTAGACTCAATGGAGCTGTATGCTCAGCGTTACGGCAATCACAGTGCCCTGTACGGGTTCTGTTTTCTCAATGAGCCCAATGGTATGGACATCGGAAAGTTGCAAGATTACTATAACCGAGCCTACGCTGCCGTACGTAAACACTCGGCCGACTCCGTGATAGTCATCAACCCGTTGATCAATGGAGAATCGGGTGTCGAAAGTCATTGGATAAGCTTTGGACAGGGTATGACCAAGTTGGCCATGGACTTGCATTACTACTCGTGCTTTGGTGGCGGTCCCGATCAGACTAACCCCGATGGCGCTATTGGTTATATAAACAATGACAGAAAGAACCAAATTTCTACGTTCGCCAGTAGAAATCCGGGAAAGAAGATGTTGATTGGTGAATGGTCATCGTGCAATCATTTTAATAACCCGGGTCGCAATGGCGATTTTGCCAAGGCCGAGTTCAACGTGTACGACAAGGCTTCATTGGGCTGGACATTTTGGTCGTGGACCGCCGGATCCGGTGAATTGTGGTCATTGAAAACCAATTTCGAAAGGGGATGGGTGCCGGCTAACCTTATGTTCCCTTGCTAAATACCTCTATGTATTTAAATAGTAGGGTTGGATTTAATTTTAACCCGCTTAATAACAATTTACTTTAAATAAATTATTTCATATTTAATTTCATGTGTATAATTATTTTTAAAACTTATAATTTATTTTTTTTAATTTATAATAATAAGTCTTTAATTTAAAAAACAATTAATACAGTATTATAATTACACAATTATTGCTAGAAACTAATTGATGCTGTAATCATGATATAATTATAAACAAAATTATTTAGAAACTTTTTATTAGCCTTTTGTTATAATTATAATCGCATTAACGTGAATGCAAACAATAATTTTATATTTAATTGTAAATTGTATAATATG